CAAATTGACCTTAATTCGAGCAACTATGCACCAAATGAAAAAGAATTCGGGTTTGGTCAAAGTACCCCAACTATCCTTTCTACCAGAGAAGTTGTAAGCCATGAATCTATGTAAATAACGGTATGCAGGACTCTTAAGAAAAGATGCCTTAGACTGGCTGGGTCATAGTTGTGTCGGTCAATCGATAAATCTCTCCAATAACCAATGTTATGAGAGAAAAATGGCTCCGTGTACTCGCACACACTGTGCATATATTCCTCACTCTGGGATTAGGGAATATCAATGAATCCAAGGGCCAAATTAAATTCAGTGATAGATTGGGTGAACTCTCTACCCATTAATCTAAACCTCACTACCTCAAGAGTGGTAACGGAAAATTCATCGGGGATATTAAACTCAAAAGTAGCATAGAATTCCCACATCAGTTCAGTAAAAGCAGGTGAAATGATAGCAGCATAGCGGGTCCAACTTATGTCGGCCAAGTGCTTCGTGACCTCATCCCTAAGATTTAGGAGATTAGGGTTTCGGGTCTTTGAATATATTTTTTTCCAAGGGCAATTTCGTCTATTCACCCCTCATTTTTTTTTCTCAAAATTTTTTCTCAAAATTTTTTTTTTGGTTTAAGGGACCCTTGTCTTAGACGTGGGCACGCCTAACTGCCCTCTAGTCTTTTGACCATCCGTCTAAAATTTTTGATCCTTTAGCGTGACCACGCCTAACCGCTACAGAGTTTTCTGACTGCGGATGAAAATTTTCTTCTCTTAAACATGACCACCTGGCATGGGCACGCTTAACTGCTATAGAGTCTTCTGACCGTCGCCTTCCAACTCTTTTCCTTAGACGTGACCACTTAGCGTGGGCACGTCTAACTGCTAAGTTCCTGCCACCAAATAAAAAAACTACTAAATGATACTAACACTTAACTAAAACAAATAGTCTTGGGTTGCCTCCCAAGTAGCGCATTTCTTTAACGTCTTTGGCTAGACATGCCCGAAACCCTCAAGCAAGATAAAGTGGATTCTGGAGGTGTACAACTTCTACTTCTTCAACAGAGAATCCTTCATAATAAGGTTTGAGACAATGACCGTTCACCACGAACTTCTTTTCTGTTTTTAAACTTTGGATCTCCACTGCACCATAACGAAACACATTAGAAACGACAAAGGGACCAATCCAACGAGAATGCAATTTACTGGGAAAAAGTTTAAGTCTCGAGTGATACAAGAAGACTTTTTGCTCCACTTTAAACGATTTCCTAGAGACTTGCTGATCATGAAAGATTTTACTCTTTTCCTTATAGATCGTGGCGTTCTCGTATGCTTTATTCCTAATCTCCTCCAATTCTTGTAGTTGCAATTTCCTTTGAACCCCCGTTTCTTCCAGGTCCATGTTGTATTGCTTCACTGCCCAGAACGCCTTGTGTTCGAACTCTACGGGAAGATGGCAAGCCTTACCAAAGACTAGTCTGTACGGTGACATCTCAATCCGCGTCTTATATGCGGTTCTGTACGCCCAATGTGCGTCTTCTAGTTTTAAACTCTAATCCTTCCTATCTGGACGCACCATCTTCTCTAAGATTGATTTGATCTCCCTGTTTGACATTTTGGCTTGCCCATTTGTCTGCGGGTGATACGGTGCAGATATCTTGTGGAGCCGTCGTATTTTCGGAATAGGACAATGATAGTTTTATTACAAAAATGTGTCCCCCTATCACTTACCACAGCTCTTGGCATTTTAAAGTGGACAAAAATATTAGATTTTAAGAATTCTGCAACCACTCTAGAATCGTTAGTACGGGTAGTTTTGACTTTCACCCATTTAGAGACAAAATCAATCGCGAGTAAGATATATACGAAACCAAGAGATGGTGGAAAAGGACCCATCTATTTCTCAAATATAAAAAATTTCAACAAACAACATGGGGGTCTGAAACATTTGTTCCTTACGAAAAATATTTCCCACCCTTTGACACCTATCACAGGATTTGCAAAATAAGTATGCATTTTTAAAAAGGGTGGTCCAGTAAAAATCACACTCCAACACTTTGCAAGCTGTTCTCTTGGGCCCAAAATGCCCTCCACATGCAAACGAATGACAGAAATTTAAAACAAAGTGGAATTCACCTGCACTTACACATCTTTTTAGTACTTGATCCAAACATTGTCTCCAAAGGTAGGGGTCATCCCAAATGTAGTATTTGGCATCACTCTTTAACTTGTCTCTCCTTGCATTTGGCCAACCTGCGGGTAATTGATTAGTTACTAAGAAATTTATAATATCAGCATACTAGAGTGCCGACGAATTAACGGCAAGTAGTTGTTCCTTTGGGAATGTCTCTCTCAATGGTTGCTCTTCCTTATGTGCAAGCAAGCGGCTCAAGTGATCAGCAACTAAATTTTCTGTCCCACTTTTATTCTTAATTTCCAAGTTGAACTCTTGAAGGAACAGGATCCATCTGATGAGCCTTGGTTTTGCAGCCTTTTTCATCATCAATTACCTTAAGACTGCATGATCAGAGAAAACTATTACTTTTGCACCTAACAAATAAAGTCTAAATTTTTCTAATGCAAAAATCACAACTAGTAATTCTTTCTCTGTTGTAGAATAGTTGACCTGAGCTCTATTCAATGCCTTTGATGCATAGTAGATTGCACGTGTCGCCCTGCCAACTCTTTGCCCCAACACAGCTCCCACTGCGTAGTCACTCGCGTCACATATAATTTTGAATGGGATGCTCCAGTCTGGAGGTTGGATAACGGGCAGCGATGTTAATGACTCATTCAATCTGTCAAATGCCACCTTGCACTTCTCGGTGAAATCAAATGCTACATCCTTTTGCAACAGTTTGAACAGGAGTGCTCCAATTTTTGAGAAATCTCTGATGAATTTCCTATAGAACCCTGCATGACTAAAAAAAACGCACTTCCCGTACACTTACGGGATAAGGTAAAGCAGAAATAATATTAACCTTTGCTTTGTCTACTTCTATTCCCCTAGCCGACAATACATGGCCCAAGACAATACCCTGCTCCATCATGAAATAACATTTTTTTTCAATTTAGAACTAAAATTGTCTCTATGCATCTTTTCAAAATCAAAACTAAATTATCAAGGCATTCATCAAAACTATCCTCATAGACACTAAAATCATCCATGAATACCTCAATAATTTTTTCTACATATTTGGAAAAGATACTCACTATGCATATTTGAAAAGTCGCTGGAGCATTGCAGAGGCCAAAAGGCATCCTCCGGTAGGCAAAAGTACCAAAGAGGCAAGTGAATGTAGTTTTCTCCTAGTCCTCCGGTGCTAATGCAATCTGGAAATAACCTGAAAAATCATCAAGGAAACAGTAATAGACTCGACCAGCTAACCTCTCTATCATCTAATCAATAAAAGGGAGAGAAAAGTGATCCTTTTTTGTCACAGCATTCAGACACCGGTAATCAATGCATTGACGCCATCCTGTGGATTTCCTCACCGGGACCATCTCGCCCTCTTGGTTCTCTTCTACTGTTACTCCCGTCTTTTTTCGGGACTACTTGTATTGGGTTCACCCAAGAACTGTCTGAAATGACGAAAATGATCCCCACTTCCAGGAGGTTAAGTATCTCCTTCTTTATCACTTCCATTATTAATGGGTTCAATCTCCGTTGCGCCTGTCTTACCGATTTTGCATCATCATCAAGTTGGATCCGATGCATGCATAAGGAGGGGCTAATTCCCTTGATATCTGCTATACTCCACCCAATCGTCTCCTTATGATCTCGGAGAAGACGAACAAGATTGTTTTCTTACCTTGGTGAAAGGTGAGCAAATATGATGACTGGTAGCGTCTCATTGTCTCCGAGAAATGCATACTTCAAGTGCTTTGGGAGAGGCTTAACCTGCAACTCAGGTGCCTGCACAATAGAAGGTAACAATTTCGCCTGAATTTCTGGTACAAAGAGAGAAGTAAGCTCATACCTTGGAGAAATTGGTGGAAGCGAATGCAGTGCTTCAACTGCACGGTATAGCTCATCACTTATTTATATATCAAGAGTTGCTCCCAACTCAAGATGTTTGGCCAATGCCACTTTCAGTGCATCGTCCCTATTCAATTCAAATGTGTCCTGTACAAGGGGTTCAATAACACTCAAAACAAAAATAGAATTAGCCTCATCCGGGTATTTCATCGCATCAAAGATATTGAAATTTACAATTTCACCATCAAACTTCATCGACAAAGTACCCTCATTCACATCTATTTTTGTCCTAGCAGTACTTAAAAATGGTCTACCTAACAAAATAGGTGACGGGTTTAATGCCCTCTCATCCCCTATATCTAGGACATAGAAATTTGCAGGGAAGACTAATCATTGACCTGTACCAAGACATCTTCAACTAGCCCATCGGGATAAGCATTGGTACGATCTGCTAGTTGAATTATAATGTCTGTGCCTTTTAATGGCCCAAGATTAAGAGACGTATAAATAGTTTTAGCCATTACATTTATTGACGCCCTTAAGTCCAACATCGCTTTCCTAATTGGGGTACCCCCTATTTTGCAGGGAATTGTGAACATACCTGGGTCCCCACACTTTGGTGGGAGTTTCCTTTGAAGCATAGTTGACACATTTTCTCCCACCGTCACTCTTTCATCACCCCTTAACTTCCTTTTGTGGGTGCACAAATCTTTCAAAAACTTGGCGTACTTAGGTATCTGCTTGATTGCATCCAGTAAAGGGATGTTAATCTCCACTTTTTGGAACACATCCAAAAGCTCCTTTTTTTACTCTACTTTCTTTGTCTTTTCTAACCTGCAAGGAAAAGGAGGTAAGTTAGATTTAATAGTAGGTGGAGAAGTGAAGGTTACCTTAGGATCCTCGCGAATACGTTCTTCCTCTTCAATTTCCTTTTCTAGCTCCTCATCACTTTTACTTTTTGAATTTTTCACTTTAGGTCCTTCCAGTTTCTTGCTCCTCATGGCACTCACATTTTTGAAATTTACCTCGAGTTGCTATGACAATTTTCCATAAACGTGGGACTCCAAGCGGTTGATGGCAGTTGCCAGTTGGCTTATTCGAGCATCTTGGTCCTTCATGCCCGCTTTGGTGTCCTGCTGGAATTGGGTAGTGCTCACGGTTAAGGCTCTAGTCTCCTGCTGGAGCTGAACGGTATTCGTGGTCAAGGATCTGATCTCCTGTTGTAGTTGAGTAGTAGTCGTGGCTAGGCTTTTGACAATATCCTCCAGAGAGCTTCCTGAATTGGAGGACGAGGGCTGAGGTTTTGTTTGCCATGACTGTTGAAATCCTGATGGACGATTTAGGAATGAATTTTGTTGCATGTTTCCATAACTGAAATTGGGATGGTCCCTCCAACTCCGATTGTACGTATTGGAGTACGGGTCATACTGCCTGCAGGGCGCGGGCACGCCTCTGGCCATGTTTACCTGTTCTGCGTCGTCCTCTTGTAAAAATGGGCACGTGTCCGTGCAGTGGTCCATGCTAGTGCAGATTCCACAAACCTTCGCTCGCGGCGTGTTCCCCATGGCTAATTGTCTAACAGCGGACGTCAACTCTGACAGTTGCTGCTGAATGGATGATGTCTCTATCTTGTTAACCCTACGAGTGGGGTTACTCTCACGGTAGCCAAACTGCTGAGAGTTTTCTGCCATGGCTTCAATAAACTCCCACGCTTTCTTCGGTGTCTTGTTCGCCAGGGTTCCTCCACTCGCAGCGTCAATGATACTCCTATCAGTTGACTGGAGCCATTCATAGAAGTATTGGATCAACAGTTGCTCACTAATTTGATGCTGCGGGCATCTAGTGCACAACTTGTTGAATCTTTCCCAATAGTCGTATAAGGACTCCACGGAATACTGCTTGATGCTGTATATCTCATTTCTCAAACTTGCAGCCCGAGATGCGGAGAAGAATTTTTTTAGAAATTTTTTTTTGAATTGTACCCACGTGGTGATATTACCTGCAGGTAGATAGTATAGCCAATCCTTCGCTGCATCCTTGAGAGAGAAGGGGAATGTTCTAAGTCTAATTTGCTCCTCAGTGACCCCAGGAGGTTTCATGTTAGAGCAAACCACTTTGAACTCCTTAACGTGTTTGTGGGGCTCTTTACCAGAGAGACCATGGAACGAGGGTAAGAGATGAATCAACCCCGACTTCAGCTCGAAGGCGATATTCTCAGTCAAAGTGGGGAATGTGATGCACAAGGGCTGGTGAGTCAACTCCGGGGCAGCCAGCTCCCTTAATGTTTGGGTGTTGGCCATGCTAAATTCGTCTTCTACTGACTCGTTTGCAGTAGAATAGTGCCCTTCTTTCCGTCTTTTGGTCTCTTGCCTTCGCCTATGCACTGCCTTCTCAATCTCAAAATCGTATATCAATTCACCTGTGCGAGAAGAACGGGGCATAAACTAGCAAAGATACCAAGAAAACGAAGAAAAAACTGAACTTAAAAAGAAATAAATATTTCAAACGCCAAACCCCGGCAACGGCACCAAAAATTGACAGGTGCTGAACCTGTGCAATAATAATAAATAAAACCTAACTACCACCTGAAACAGTCAATAATCAATTCGAGTACTGGAGCAGAGACTCTAGGTGTGCAATGGGTTACTTGATTCACCATATTCCTGAAGAGTTTGTTTAATCCGATATACTTGAATTAATTATTTAACTGAACTCACTAACTAGTAGATAGTAGCAAGTAGGGTCGTCTCTTAGGGACTAGCGAGAAATTTATTTCTTTTCAAGCCAAAACAAATAGGGGATTTTAAGATTAAATGCTAACTAAATAATTTAACTGTAGAAAAGTAATTAGTTAAAAGAAATAATTGGGAGAGCTCTAGCCAAGGGTACACTTCAGAAATGGTTCATGCACTGATCATCGACTCACAGATAATTCCAATATTTATTAATAGATTAGTTATAGTTGTCATGCACGCGATAAACAACCAATCTTTCTTTAATTTCTCGATAGTTAAGGTACGATCGTTAATTATTTTTCTAACCTAAAAACAACCCTAGGTACGACCGTATGATTTAATTTTTAGATTGCATTAATAATTAGAAAGGCCCAATCCTAACTAATAAACACGCTACGAGGGTTTATTTAATGTTAGATCATAAGTTCCCCCAACATAAATCCAATTACGCCAGTTGCTACTAAGATAGAGATAACGAACAATTACGGATTCAATTACCCCTATTTAGCAAAATAGCCTATATGAATAATTAATTATTGCGCACTAACCAATCATACACAAGGCTATAACAATTAAAAGTAGGAAACATATAAATATCAATAAATGAAGAAAATAATTAAAAGCGGTTTAGATCTCACAGTAGTTGTTGAACCAATTCGTCAGTTGCCCCCTTGACTAGAATTAGAGAATTAGCCCTCCATTAATGGAGGACAAATCGCGCATGTAGAATTGGGAAAAGTTTGCAAATCGATTCTCCCACTTCGGTCCACCACAAGAGGAAAAAGCACGGGATTTAATTGCTTCCAATTGTCTCTCACGGAGCAAACATGAGAGAGGGTTTGATGCTTTATTTCAATTCCAGTCACAGCCAATTGAAAAGCAAAGCCAGGGGTCAACAATTGCGGCCCTTATTTCTTCTCCCAATTGCTAGCAAGACTTCCGAGAGATTGCTTTGCTTGCTTTCTTCAATTCAAACCACACGAGATATAAAAGCCAATGAAATTGCAAAATCAACAATGGTGGCTTTGTCCCTTGATTGTTTTTACAAGGTACGGCCGCCCAATTCAAAGGCAAAAACGTAAGAAGAAAAAAACTAAGCCAGACGGAAAATTCATTTCTCCCCTCTCCTCCGCCAGGCTGCCCTACTGGAGTCTAATACTTCCCCCTTTCTGTTTTGGTCCTCTGAAATTCAAGGAGGGGATTTCCCCCATATCGGAAATTGATCTTTTACAAATTAAAACAAGACTCCCTCAAATAAAATAAAATAAAGTCTATTACAATTAAATTTCTTCAGCTTCTCCAGAGGGCCCCACGTACGGCAAATCCTCTGAATTTCGAATTTAAGCACTTTTCAGCATCCATTCCTGCCATTAGCACCAAAATCGTATATGAGTAGAATCTACCCAATTAATGAGATATTTAGTCAAATAATTGTGAAATAATGCCCAAAATATCCTACTAAAATGCACCCTATCAATTACCAAGAGCCAATGGGAACCCTATCAATTACCAAGAGCCAATGGGAAGTGCCTTTACTAGATTTGTTCAAGTCATTATGGCTTCTATGAGGAACCACTTTAAAGGGGTCAAATTTGAACCAGGAGTTCGGCTTTATGACGTCCCGACTGAAATTCTGATATATTTGGTGCTCGGAAGCTTCTTCACACTGAACAATACATGTTAGGTTTCAATTAAGCTTTTTCTCCAGATTACTCACCCGAGGGATCATCAATTTCCTCAGATCACACATCTCTTACTCATGGATCCTCCCCAATTCCAACCCCGAGAGAGGAGCAAACCTTCCCGCCGCGTAGCCCACCTGGGAAATTGCCTCCTAAGCCTCCGCTGCCAGCGTCGGCTATCAATCGCTATGTCGTAGGCGAGCCCTTCTCAGTGTCCAAGATGGCATATTCAGGTGGGCAAGGAGGAAGGGGATCAAGGGTAGGCTCATTTCGGTGAAAGGGATCAAGGATTTGCTATCATTGGGCCAATTGGGAAGGAGTGTGCTGATCTCGGGCCTAGGATTGCTAGTGCTGCCACTAAATACACTAAATACTTCTTACAGGTAATTAGCCTTTTTATGTCAAAAAAAAAAATTGAGGTTTTTGGCGAAGAGTAGAGGGAGGTCTTCCCTTAGAGTCCTCACAACCAGACCCAGGCTCACAAAAAAATCATCCCTGTAGTCATGCTGCTTATTATCGTGAGGAGAAGCAAGAGCAATGGCAGCCGTGGCGGTGGCATAGGTGGTGGGGTGGTAGAGGGGTCGGTGGGGCGAAGATGCTTGGTAAACCATTCAGAAACTATAATACCCTAGATATTTGATCGCGTGTCTCATGAAATGATACTTCATATTAATTTTAACTGTTGGATTTGACAGAAGGGCCACGAATATGTTATTTTATTAGATCGAGGGCCAAATCTTTATTGTTAATTATTGGAGGGCTAAAACTTTACTTGAGAAAGAGTTGGAGGGCCATTGAGACTTTTTTCCCTAAAATGAACCTAGTGATCCGACCTAGAAGTATGATGAATAACGATTATCCAACTTTACAGTGATGACCCTTTTTTTTTTTTTTTTAACACAATGATGACTTTTGCTATAGTAAGAAATTTGTTAAGCAATGGGCTAAACATAACCAGCAGACAACAAACACGTATCAAACCTCTCAGTATAGCAAAACCAATGGTAGATAGCATCTAATCCCATATCTAATTTCAGAAAACCTAATGGTAGATTTGAAACAACTGATTTCAAAATCTTGATTTAGTACTGATGATGTTCCTTTATGAGGATTCATGATCATTTAACTAATTTAACTTTTAGATTTATGAGTAAAACAAATATAAATTCAGGGTTCAACTCCAATTGAGCAAATCCATAAGCATTTAGGATGCACATGCACCAAGCAAAGGATTATACATATTAAGTATTTCACTAGTTTTAATTAAAGTGACTTCAGCAGATAGACGCCTGGGAGACTTCAATAGATACAACAGGTAGCTACATTGGTTTATTCAACTGCAGGATAGAGTTGCTTTCACTTAGAAAAGGAAAAAAAAAAAGTCTTCAATGCTGCAATAAACCCTTAGCCTTGAAATAAGCAAGGGCGTCATCATAAATGTCCTCAATTCCATGCTTAAAATTGAAACCCTCTTTGATAAGCTTCTCTGATGAGATGATCAACTTTGCTTTGGATGGAAAACCTTCAAATCTGCAATTAACCATGATAGTGTGAAAATGCATGGTGACATTTGTTTTGTTTAGGCCTCCAAATCTATTGGGCAGAAAGATACTACTGCAGTGTCTTGAAAGCGTGCTTACTCTGTTGGGATTTTGTAGTCTGGGTATCTTTTACTCAGAAAGTTTGCGAGGTCAGGAACACTAGTATTGGCAGCGCAGCAAATGTAACGACCGGAAGCCGATTTTTTCTCAGCCAAAAAAATGTGGGCTTCACAGACATCTTCCACATGTGTAATGGAGATTGATCCTGCGAGCATCTGCATCCCTTTCAAGCCATTAATGAGGAACTCGTTTCCTGTAAAATGTTGGACACTTTAGCTGGAAATTAATTTGGATATATGCTCAAGTGCATTTGGGAGTTGGGACAAAAATTTTCTGACCTGATGGATTTACGACATGTTACAGCATGTGTGTGAGTATGATCATGCATAATGCTTTGATTTTACCTGTGATCAAGGACATCGCAAGATTGACGCTGGAGGGAACGTCTGGTGTCAGGGGAGGACCAGCAATGAGACTTGGAATGACGGTAATGAGATCAATCTTCTTCTCTTCAGCAAATTTCCAAGCTTCCTTTTCAGCTAGAGTCTTGGAGACAGGATACCCCTGCAGAGCAGATGTAAAATGTTCCCGATCATCATTTCATTATGCAAAAATGGAGATTAAGAAAAAAAAATGAATGCCACTATGGATGGACATAACATTGCTTATCTTAAACTAATAATGCAAATATGCAATCGAAGTCGAGAATTGCAAGTGTGCTGATAGTTACCCAAGTAGGTGGTTTTGCAGAACTCAGAAACTCAACATCTGTCCAGTTCCCTTCATCCATAATCAGCCCTGTACCCTTAAGTTCGTTGATGGTTACAGCTGCAGCTGAGGAGGTAAAAATTACGCGTTTCACTGATCCAGCTTTTACGCAAGCTTTTAGAACATTGACAACTCCTTGAATTGCCGGTTTTATCATATCATTCTGCAACATGAGGAACAAAAATCTTAACCTGATTTCTGATACAGAATTGATGATAACCTTGTTGAATTGCTAATGTTTATTTGATTATCAATCTCATACCTCTGGATCCTCAGAGGCAAAGTTGACTGGGGCGGCCACATGAAAGACAAGGTCACAGCCTGCTACAGGGGCATCAAAGCTTGCTTCATCTGTAAGATCTGCTTTAAAAACTTTTAAGTCTCCCAAACTCTGTAGTGCCAATAGGTGAGTTATCTTTTTCTGATTACCTGGGTAGAAAAAGGAGAAGACGATGTTAAACAAGGCAAAGTACAAGTGTTGGAACAATAAACATGAGAACTATCTAGGAATTAATTACTATTCCAGAGCTCAGTGATGTTGAGAGTTTGTGTTCGAAGTCCAACTTCTGTATTCTTAACATTTGCCAGCCCCAAACTAATGAATCAGAGCTGATTGCTACTTGGCTTCATTCTCATACATAATCTAAAATGTTGT